AAAAATTCCATGGCATTCATAATTTAAAATACTTTCATTCAAAGATCTACTTAAGTAACAGTGTTAACCATTCTTATTAAGCAAAGCCACTTGGACTGTCCTTCAAAGTAAACAAACTTATCACAGTGACTTCCAGTGACATCCAGCCACATGATGTTTATTTAGTCTGCATCATCAGCACATATAGAATAAGTAAATCAAATGGGGAGAAATTAAGTATGCTGTTATATTCTGAAGGCAACTTTGATAAAGAAAAAATCAGATCTAATGAGTTTGCTATTCAGATATATATTATACTTATAAATAAATCTAATTTCTTCATCAAAATGTGTATCCACAGAAAGAGCTGCAACATTTTATTAATGATAACATCCATAAATTTCGATAATTTCCTGGTGCTGACAGATGGAGAAATTTGCACTCTGGGTGGCCTCTCTCAAGTTTGGCAGTAGATATGCATGATCTCATAAGACAAAGATAGAACATTCTCTGGTTCTCTTGGCAGAAGGTGATGAGAAGTATAAAAGAAGATTAAACTTTGGAATAATATTTTCTTCTGAAAATCATTTTATAAAGAAATGACACTCCTCTGACATAAATTGAAGGTTTCTGTGGCTATCGAACAAGGGTATTCTGGATTCTATGTGTTTGATATAAACTAGGACATACATGTACTTGTATTAAAATGAATAAAAGTTAACCATTCCTTAAAGCAGATAAGCCAAACCTCTAAAACAATGATGAACAGATATCATTTAGCCACTCACTTTTATTGCCTTGTTCTTAACAATCTAGCACCGGGAATCTTGCTAAATATGGATTATTCCCAATGATCTCCTCAGAAAGATTTTTTTTTAAAATAGAAGTTATATTAGCAAGGGCACAGTTGACATCCTGTGTAATTCCTTAATTTAATTTTCAGTAGTGGAAACACTGACATCAACCTTGGACTGGTACCCAAACTAAAGCATGTTCCAATTACTCAGGAGCTTTCATTCATTTCCCTATCTCCATCTTCACTGAACTGTATCATATTAAAAGCTAAATACCAAGGAAGTATATAGGTTTAAAGCTGCATTCCACTTCAAATGGAACAATGAGTGGCTGGAGGAACTTGTGGAGGATGCTGAACACAGGTCAGTAGAAATGAGATTATAACAGGCACTATCTAGCATGGAGAGAGTGGTACAGACAAGTGGACAAAGTTCTGGAATCTAGAATGTTTAACACAGAGAAAGGAAATCCACATGAGTTGTGGTGTTTTTTCCAAATGCTTGGACATCAGCCATTCCCACAAGAGAAGCAACCTTTTCTAAAGCACCAAATGAGTAACAGGAAGTAAAGTGTCACACTCCCCCTCACTAAGAACTTTTTAAATAATTAGAAATATTCAAAACAAAACATGCTTTCTTGAGTAGGGCAGTAACTCCTAAGACTCTGAAATATTCAAGCAGGGGTAGGGATATTTAAGAAAAGTTTCCAGGAGATATAGGAAGTAAGAAAAATAATTCCTGAGGTAACGTACCACATGTCATCAAACTTCAAATCATGAAATACAGTAGGGTTACTTGCATCAAGATTAAAAACAAAGGGAAAAATATACCACTATTTCAGATAAGTTAATATATTATTTCTATTGAAACTTTATCCTAATTGGAGTTGTCAACCCTGTATTCTAAAAGATATTTTTTTATTTGAGATTTCTAAAAAATGCATATGCAATTGGACATCCTTGTTTAAAATTACAAAATTTGGGATCCTAATGTGTGAATGAGGATATATCTGAACCAACAGTCCTTGCTAAGATGAAATTTACCCCAAGTCTTTGTGCCATATATTTAAAACCGATTTGGTTGCCCTGGAAGCTTAGGTCTGTGATCAGTTAGTATCCTGTCAGCAATCAACTTCTGTGCCACAGAGTGAAGGAGACACGGAGAAAATCACACAAGACAGAGAGGAGAGCTGTGCAGTCAGAAGAAAAAAGCTTTCTTGATTATGCTGTGGACTTTCTGAAGTCTTTAATTCTCCCTCTAGCCCATCTTCAAACTGGCACGTGGGACGTACTGTAGATGGATGGTGATACTCATCAGGAGGAGCACAAACATATATCTTGTGGGTTGATTTTTTTATTTGCCAGCTCAAGAGGAGCAGGGAGATTTATTTGGAAGGATGGTAATGAAGGTGGGGAGGCACTAGTTAGACTGCAGTTTCTGTTCCCAATGTTATTCTCACTTCTTTTCTGTTCTTGAAGCTGAGTTGTTCTTTTTATTTCTAATATTTTCTTCAGGGAAAGAGGGAGAGAGAATATTCTGATATAATAAGCCAGTGGCCTAAAACTGGTAGGGAAGTTACAGGAGCATAAAATTTCTATGTTTAATATTTGTTAAACTATTTCAAATATTTTCACTATACTCTACCTCTATATACCCACCCATGTACTTATATAAAATTATACATGAAACATTGTGATTGTTTTCTTCATCCTCAATGAAATTTCATGTTCCCTTTCTTGCTTTTTTCTCTTGCCCTGTCTTACAAAGAGTGAAATAATTCACTATAATGAAAAATATATCACTTTCTCCCTCCATAACAAACAAATGAGCTGACTTTGTTGGACTGCATAAAATACAGCAAAGAGCACTATACTGGTCTGACACAAAGAATGGAATTGTTCACTAAAAGGAAGAACTAAACTGCATTACTTTTGGTTTCCAGAATGCTATTTTCTGCTCAGAAGTCAAGGCATGGGGGTGGGGGCTTGTTATCCACCATTACTGGGGTATCATTCTAATATAACAACTAATCAATCACCTATGTAGAAGACTCAGACTAGACCCGAGACCAAGCCAATTTTGCTATTTACAATATGACATCAGTTTGGCTACCTGTCTCAACTTCTCATCTAAATATGGCCATAGGAGTCCTAAGTGCTTATAGTTCTAGAAATACTGAATAGTTATGAGCCATAACCTGCAAAATGGCCAGACTTTTAATGTAAATATGAAAGGACCAATTGAGTAAGTGCATTAGAATGTCTAAAATCAATTACAGATGATCAAAATACAGTAGAGCAATGAGATAGTAGGTATACTATATATTTTTAATGATATAGTATGTATGCACATTACTATCTACCATATGGTAAGAATATTATCAAAATATAGGATGAGGGCCCTCCCTGGTGGCACAGTGGGTTAAAGCACAGCAATAAGAAGCTAAAGCCACTTGAGCATGAGTGCAATCCTCACCCCGGAGGTGACCCACATGGCACCCCGGAGGTGACCCACATGGCACGGCAGACCTCTCCTGACCTGCTTGCTGCTCCCCTCAGCAGTGTACTTTGTCAGTCAGCCTGTTCTGCTTCCCACTCTGGCTCTGGTGAATCCTCTCACTGCCCCTGTACCTCTGACCTGTACTCCAGTTCTGTATGCATAAATAAATAAATCTTTAAAAAATATGTAAGATAAGAGGATTGGAATGTAAAAATGTTTTCATTTGTTAGTTGTATTGGCAAAATTTGTAAGCATTCAAATGAAACTTTAATTATCTGGATTTTCATTTCCTGAAACTGCCCTTACCATTTCGTGTATGCATGAAACTGAAAAAATGTTAATAAATAGTGTGGTTTAGGAAATCAATGTCAAAAGATGGGTGTGGACTACTTTCTTTTTAAGGCAGTTTAAATCCAACCATCTCTGAAAATAATGATATTTTTTCATCGTGGACAATCCATATAAATCTTATCCAACACATTCAACCTTCTCGAGAATATGAAAAATTTTTAGAAAAAGTGCCACTTTAAACAGTATTGCTGTGAGCCAAGAACGAGTTCAATGTTATACCAGGGAACAACAGAAATAGTCCTTCCTGCTATCCAACTCCCATTTTCATTCTAAGCAAGTGAAGGCTTGTGTGGCCTTCAGTGGGACAACAGAAAAAGGATATTCAAGGCAGGAATGCAGGTAGTTGGAGAGGTGGAAAACAGGGATCACAGAAAGCTAAGGGCTAAGATTTTCAAGTCGCCACCCTTTTGACCTTTTAGTGATACTAGAGAGTAGTCTGTCAATAAAAAAAAATAATATTCACAATGGTCATTTATGAAGAGCTGGCTGAATTAGAGGCACTTTGGTACTAAAGTTTCTGATTTTCAATTAAATTATGTTTAAAAAAGGTCTTGAACCATTTTATAATGGAAAACAAAAAGAAAATAGAGGAGATAATTTAGTCAAAGTTAAAAAGAGAGCTGGAGGGTAAAAAAATAAAGACATTGAAGATAAGATTGGCACAGGAAATGGGGTTGGGAGAGGTAAGACATAAATTGGAGGGACAAGAGAGAAAAGGAGCTATAATCAATAATGAGCCATGATTTCCCTAAGCATAAAATAATGAGTTTACATCCATACAAACACTACATATAGCAGGATAACTGCTAAAGCATTTACAGATATGAATGATTATTTTCCAAAAGTAACACTGCTCAAGTTGAATCCTACTTTGACCTTAGAATCAACCAACTTAGTGTCAATCAAAATATGCACCTCAAATCATCTACAACATAGCTATACATTAATGAGCTTAGTTAAAAATAACATACTGCACATGTGCATTCAGATGGCAACTTTTTAAGAGTGATGTTAGGAAGCTAGCTGCTGTTTTATATATCTTGAACATTTTGGTGACTTCTTTATCAACGTTTATTTAACAGGTATTTGCCCTGTGCCAGGTGCTCTGCTAGAGACCAGTGAGGAAGAAAGACATTGCCTGATTAACTACAAGAAAGGTGATGAGGCCCCTCCCTGGTGGTGCAGCAGGTTAAAGCACTGCGCTGAGAAGTTTAAGGCACTTTCACATGAGTTCGATTCCCGCCTGCTCCGGAGGTGACCACATGGCGCGGCAGACCTCTCCTGACCCGCCCGCTGCTCCCCTCAGCAGTATACTTTGTCGATCTGCCTGTTCTGCTCCCCACGCTGTCTCTGGTGAATCCTCTCACCTCCGCATCTCTGGCCTGTACCCCAGTTCTATATGAATAAATAAATAAATCTTAAAAAAAGAAAGAAAGAAAGAAAGAAAGGTGATGAGTCTTTTGATTTCAGAAGGATTGGAGGGTCCAGTCTGAATGCTCTCAAGTCAGATGCCTTTAAACATCTGCAGTGGTATTCTTGGTGTGTGTTTTCTTTTAGTTGGGGTAGTTTTCAGGGATCATTTCTAAACTTTAATTTTATGGTCAATCTTCGCTCAGAATCAGGTGTGCTGAATAAGATGGGTGATCAGTTTCTTCCAGTTTTGGTCAAACACTAGATCGCACCAATTTTCATATTAAGGGTATAAGTAGATGGAACCAAGTAGTTTTCCAGAAGAAAGTGACTACATTTCCAAATATATTCTCTGATAAGATGCCATATCTCAGTCATTTTACTCCTCAATACAAAGGCATTTTTGACTCATCTGTTCACCTCTGTTTTTGCCAGTAGGTGTGTGTGTGTGTGTGTGTGTGTGTAAGTAACAACATTAGATATATTGGCTTAAACATCCAGACTTTGGCCTCAGTGAGAAAGATAAAAAAAACTGACATTCTGAACAATGAAACACTTAGTTGTTCCTCAGATTATATCAAGAGAAAGAATTACTTTTCTTAGTTATACTCATAGAACTTGAAAAAGGAGACAGAGAGAGAGAACACTGCACATGAAATTCACAGACAGGACAGGCCAATTCATAATTTTCTGAGCAGAGAAGTCAGATGTCACTTAGAATTACTTGTGTTCCTAGATTTCCAAGGACAGGTAACTCTGACATGGTACGGCTATACAATAACTATTAAGCCCATTCTGGAATTTATGTTAAAAGAATGAGTTCCCAAAATATTTGGAGCATTAGCAGTTGCATTAGAATAATATTTCAGTCTCCTATGATTTTTATTTGTATGATGCAATACCAGCAAACAATGGTTTCTATTATTATAAAGTAATTATATCTTTTTTTTAAAAGTCACTAGGGAAGAAAGAACAAGATTAAGTAGATCTGGACTATTATAAGAGGCGAATCTATTTACTCTCTAAAATCTCACCCCAGCTTTCTCTTTCATTAGTTGTAGTAGTAAATGAATCTTGATAGGAGATTTTTCCATTTTTAATCTGGGATAGACTCAACACATGTTTCAAAGGAATCATTTTGTTCTGAATTTAACAGTTCCTAGACAACCTATACTTACGACATAAAGTAATTGTTTATCCTGATAATAACAAATTTTTCTATCTTCTTGCCATTTCCTTGCCACTATTTACACATTAAATATATATTCAAACTATAACTCATTTGTGTCCAGTTTGCTGTAAAAACATAGTTTATTGAGTCATAATTTTAAGTATGGTTTAAGTGTATTTCCTGTAGGATGATGCTGAATGAATCAGAGATGGTTGTAATTTTTTCTTTGGACAGGAGATAGGGAGAGGGGAGAGAAGGAAAGAGAGAGAGAGAGAGAGAGGGGAGAAAGTGAGAACGAGAGCAAGAAAGAGCGAGAGAATGCTCCACTCAGGAGAGGTGGAAGTAGAATCCAGGATTCTAAGCAGGAGGGTCTTCTATTCCATCTTAACCTCATTTTACATTTGTCTTCTTTAAACAAAACAGTCTAATGAAAGGAGAAAAAGAACCTTAATAACACAAGAGTTCTTGAATTTGCTATTCAATTAGAGTTAGTTCAGCTGAGTCTGGGAGGCCACACTCCCAATCTGACCCATTTCTTGCTGGTTTTATCCTCTTACCTCTATCTACACCAACAAAGATCAACCTGATGATCAAGCTTGAGCATGTGTCACGATACACAGAGTCCCACCAACTGCATAACTCACAGAGAAACATCTCAAAGTGTTTCCGGTAGGCATCTTTATTCAAAGGACAATTCAATTTATCCAAGAGTAAGATATTAATGATATGTTGATTTTTTTAATTTTTTTAAATTTATTTATTTGTGCATACAGAACTGGGGTACAGGCCAGAGGCTCAGGGGCGGTGAGAGGCTTCACCAGAGACAGAGTGGGGAACAGAATAGGCAGATCAGATGAAGTACACTGCTGAGGGGAGCAGCGGGCAGGTCAGGAGAGGTCTGCCGCGCCATGTGATCACCTCTAGGGCAGGCGGGAATCGAACTCATGTGAAAGCGGCTTTAGATTCTCAATGCTGTGCTTTAACCCACTGAGCCACCAGGGAAGGCCCGATATGTTGATTTTTTTACTTACTATAACTACACTGAAAAGGACCATGAATTCACATAGTGTCCCACAGAATGACAAGATATAGTAGCTTTCCTTGTTGAAATAAAAATTTAATCCCTAGCAGGATTTTGAGAGTTTATATGCCCAATGATGACTCTCCCCTTCTTTCTCCTTATATAGCTCTGAAGGAAAGTGTACTCCTTGGAAAAAGGTAGGAGCATTTCACCTGTCTCCCCCTTTAGGTGCTAACAAAATATTTCTCACTTTTATTGTTTTTCCTTGGTGATTTCAGTCATTCATATACCAAATCTGTTTAAAAAAGGAGAAAACCTACTTACTCATGTGTAGGAAATAATTTAATTAAAACCATTTCATTTGGCCTCAAAATTGTACCACTTTTTAGCAGAAAGACAGACTGGATCAGAGCCCACTTGCAAAGAAGAATTTGAGAAAATTGCATATAGTGCAAGAAAACTCATATTCATGCCAGATTAAATGGGAGATATTATCCAATTCATAAAATTACAACCAATGATTTCACTTTATTTGACTAATTTTCTTCACTCTAATCTTTAAAGAGACTCTTCTGCCTGGAAAGATGAATGGCACAAAGTAGCCCGACAGGATATAGCAGATTCTGATTTAGACAAAACTGCCTTTGGGAAACTACCAAAGGTTACAAAAGTGACCAGTTATAAAGAAAAATTAAAAGAATTAAACAGTTATGTTTTCCTTAGAGAGTAGATCCTAAAATATAATTCACTCTGGGCAATTTCAGTGGCTAAATTCTTAGTGCATTAATCAAAAGGGGCAGATGTCGGCTGTGTTTATCCTAAACTCAGATGTGGTAAAGGAAAGAAAGATTAATCTGATAAAGGCATTGCTGTTCTAATCGGACTGATGAGAAGACGTAGTGTGGGTGTGAGACGTAATGTTGGGTGAATTACAGTGAAATGATGAACTATCTTGAAGCTGAAGCAATCAAACAAATAGCTTTCAAAAATTACTAGGGTATCTTTATTCAATAGTGGGGTACATGTGTCCCCATTCTGGCATTCTTTACGAAAGGCAGAAGCACTTTCCTATACTTGCTGAAATGAAATCTTAATAGGAGGGCTTCAATTAAGGCTGCTATCCTTCACTTACCCAAATTAAACACTAGCCATGAATTTTCTTTCTAAGAGGAGGAGGAGATGATGTTTTCAATTCACAGTACTGTTAAAAATCCAAGAGTTAGCAAATACTTTGTAAACATTTCTGTCACATACTTGTATCTCTGAATGTGCACGCTTTTTAATTAAAAGTCATGTGCAACATTTGTTAGTCATCCTTGTCTTTCTTATAAATAATTTAGCAAGTCATTATTTTGTCTTCAGGAAAACAAGATAATTGTAAATTATTATGATTGAGTAGAATAAAGTCAAGATGCTTTTGTGACTGATAGAAAAGAGCAAGTCATCTCTATTGGAGTGTTTTACTTTACATTTTGCTTTTGTCTGATTTTACCAAATTTTCAAAAATGAGAACAATCAAATAAAAAATTAGAACACAAATATGCATTCCCCCCAATCTATCTATAACCACACTATCCATAGATGTATTAATGTATTAATATTTTTGCAACACATGAATGTATGCCAAAGATGTAATATGTAAACGAGAGTACTTGAATGTGCTTTTCTACTTGCATGTGCGTTATATATGTGTGATACCACACACAGATAATTTTTTAATGGGATTACATTATACAACTGCCTTTGAATCCAGTCTTCTTTACTTACAAAAAGATTTTTTTCCTCCAAAAGAATGGGGTAAAATTTATGTTAACACTTTTAATGCCTTCCTACTGTTGCATATTGTCTTTTTTTTTTTTTAAGATTTATTTATTTATGTATACAGAACTGGGGTACAGGCCAGAGGTGCAGGGGCAGTGAGAGGATTCACCAGAGACAGAGTGGGGAGCAGAACAGGCTGACTGACAAAGTACACTGCTGAAGGGAGCAGTGGGCGGGTTAGGAGAGGTCTGCTGTGCCATGTGGCTCACCTCCGGGGTGGGGATGGAACTCGTGTTGAAGTGGCTTTAACCTCTTAATGCAGTGCTTTAACCCACTGCTCTACCAGGGAGTGCCTGCATATTGTCTTTTTTAAGATTAACATTTATTAAAGGTAATAATGTGAACTGATGTTCCTTTCAGCTTTCACCACTAAACAGATGCACCTTTAAGTTAGAAATTCTGAAGTCACACATGACTATGAAATATTTTATTTAGATTTATTATGTCACAAATACTCAGCAAATGCTCTGTTGTGAAGTGACACTTTATCACATTTGAAACTGCCACTTGACCTTATATGTTTTTTGATTAGCCTGAAATATTTCATGATTCCCTTATGCATTCCTTTGGAGTAATTAAAAGACAGGCATTGCTATCTTCATTAAACACACTGACTCCCAAGTTGAAGTATACACCATCATAAGTTGGGGCAAGGAAACACTAGCACTAAATCCAAGGAACATAAACTGGAATCCACTCTCGGCTGCACCTTTCCCTGGGTGGATGCTCAGGGAATTCTCCCCACTTGGTGACTCTTCTGCTTCTTTCCCTAAAACTGCAGTGATCTTTGCTGCAGCCAAGGCCTCCTTTACAGTCGGCTGAAATGCCAGAAAACCTCCCACTAGTCATAATGTTGATTGTAATCACTTCTCCATTCTAAAACATGTTAACCATTAAGAGCTTATATTGCAATCTTAAATTTTATATGGACACTTCTAAACTTTACATGTAGACGTTGGTAATCAGAGGCCCTATGCATTAGTTTCCTGGGGTCTCTAAAGACAGCTTGTACACACAGATAGTACAACTATGTCAAATAACTCACATATTGAATATAGCATTTTTAACTATACCATATCAACATAGTACTGAGAAATAGTTTTATTTTTGAACACCAAAAGTTTTCATTGTACTGTGTGAAACAACTTACTAGTTTACTGAAGAGAAAGGGTACTTCGTGTTTTGTCAGTTTTATTTCTTAATGTATTTTGAGTCCATTTTGGAAAAGAAATTTGAAGAAAAAAATCTGCTATTTGGATCTTGAGAAACATTAGACTAGAAATCAAAGAAATAGATGGGGCTGCTTCATATAGAAACATTATTATAGCATGGTTTTAAAAATGCTTGCTAGTTAAGCCAACCATTTTTCACCATTATTTATTTTTTGGAAAAATTCCTAGCAAGATGCATACCTTTATATAATTTGCCCAGCTTTTGAATATAGTTTTCCAAACTTTGCGAAGAGATCAAATGAAGGTAACACCGTTTGGAAATCCTAGGAGGGAAAGGATCAGATTACCAAAGAGCTCGTACTGCCTTTGTATTATTATTATTGTTGTTTTATTATAATTTATATTTTCTTAAATTGCCAAACAGCCTTTAATTGCTCTTGAATTTCCATAATTCCCACAAATGCAACAAACAGGCATATTGTATCAGTTGAAAGCCAGATCCATTGACACTTTCTAAAATACATAGATTTTAATAGCAATGGACATAACTCCAGAGGCTCAGAGTAATGCAGACACAGTCACTTGTCTTCAGCTTGCTCACAATCTAAATTCTGAACCTTGATCTTTTAAGTCCCTGATAATCATGCTTCTGACTCCTTTTCCACATGACTTAGTTTCTTCCACATTTTCCCTCATTTCAGTGTTCTCCAGCAAAACTTGTTTAATGGACACATTGCCTCTCAGAGTCTTTATGCTACAGATGTCTCCATCTGGACAGCTTTATTTCCAGCTACTCCCAGGGCTCATTCCTTTTCGTTATCACATGTCTACACACAGATACCCTCCCTGCCCATTGCATATACAATAGCACTTGAGAAACTTTCTATCACTTTAACTGGCTATCTGCTTATAGGATTACCTCTCTTTCCTGTTATATGTTTCATATGTTATTTTGTTAGCTGCATTTGAATTTGGTTTCAAAGTTCATTTGACAACATATACATATGTAAATATTTAAAATGATCAATGAAATTGCTAAATACCTAGCCAGACTAAGCAGAAAGAAAATACAAATTACTAAAATCAGAAGTGAAAAACAGATTAAACAGATTGTTACCTATCACACTGACAATAGAAGCATAATAAAGAGATATTATGAATAATCTATGACCACAAATTTGATAACTGAGAAGAAAAAGAGTAATTCTTTGATAGGGAAAAATCTACAAAACCTCACACCAGGAAAAACAGATAATCTGAATCAGCCTTTATCTATTTTAAAGGGTGAAGGTTCACAGGTGACTTGGTGGGAATGTGTTGGGGATTAGACCTGAGAAGAACAACAAAGTAAAATAAATACATGTAAAATACATAAACAACTATATACATACACAAATGAAATAAAATAAAATTAAAAAACCCGATAATCTTCTAAAATGGACCCACATGATTTCACTGGTGCATTCAACCAAATAAGTAAGAAATGATACCAATACTAATTTGTTCCAGAAAATAGGAGCATAGGAAGCACTTACTGACTCAATCTGTCTCAGCACCTATAAAATGGAGATGTTTACCTTGTAGGGTTGTTGTGAGGATGAAGCATCTGGCATTAAACACTAGTGTTTATCTCCACATTTCCTTCAATTGTAAAAGTCTATTCATAGCCTACCTGCTATGTTCTTTCAAAAATCAAGTTGAATTCCATTGACACCTCTGAAAGACTAATTATGGTCAATAATGAAGTGAAATAGGACTCAAAGGATTTTGACACATTCTCCATCAGCAATATATATATGTATTTCAAGATTTATTTATTTATTCATACAGAACTAGGGTACAAGCAGAGGCACAAAAGTGGTGAGAGGTTTCACCAGACACAGAGTGGGGAGCAGAATAGAAAGATCATTGAAATACACTGCTGAGGGGAGCAGCAGGCAGTACAGGAGAGGTCTGCTATGCCATGTGGATCACCTCCGGGACTGGGGATCGAACTCACACTGAAGTGGCAGTGGCCAGCTTGTAGTGCTGTGTCCTAACCCATTGTGCCACCAGAAAGCAAAAATATTTTTGAGCAAGCAGTCTCTACTTACTTAGTTATCTGTGCTAAACTATATGTGTATAACCTGGTAGTTTAAGACAATGTTAAATAGGTATGAAAATGATGTAAATTAAATATAAATTCTAATATTTTATTACTTTATTCCTGTGAATCTCCTGTCTGCTGAATTTGGGAGTACTCTAATATAATGAATAAAGTGTCACTTGATTTCTGTGTTAGTCTTTCATCTGGGCGTTCCATCACCATGTGGTTATCTGTAGAGTGAGTCTTACATTATTTATTTAGTTTCCAATGAATGGTAACCAATTCTTAGTTGCATCTTCTTGGGAGTTATTGAGAGAGTCAGATAACAGGCATCTAGAGTTGGGTAGAAAAACCAAACCTGACTCTTTGAGTACCTACATTCCATATCTCTTGAAAGAAAATTTTTCAGAATTCTTCTTCACTCTTGAGTTTGTAAATTTTAAACCCCACATTCTTACTTGACCTTTGTCAACCAAAAACTATTACTTAGTACAGGAAGAGGTGAATATGCCCTTAAGACAGCCTGACTTTTGGGAAAATCTAAAGCTGATACTCATTTATTTCAAATTTGCCTCTAATTCATGAAAACACCCACCATGTCATGGAATATTACTTATGAACTCAAGAAAGCCACCTCCACAGTGCTCCTGCAGTGCTCACTTTTTAGAACACTGGGGATTGCTTTTCTGAAAAATGACCTCATCAACAAAACAAAACAAAACAAAACACTGGGGAAGGTAATTCTAAGTCCTTCCATGGCCCTGCTTGCCAGAGCAGACAGCTTTCACTATCAGGATGCCCAGCCAAACACGAATAATCCACTGCCAGAATGAGCTCCTTGGGACAATTTAGGAGTCTTTGGAAGTAAATGGCTCTTTGAGCTGGAATCCGGCCCAGGTCCATTCTCAAACCCAAGTCAAAATGACAAAGAGCAAAAATCCTGGGCCACTCACCCCCTGAGGGTAAGATTGCTTTAGGTTGGCAGCTGCACTGTTTATCTAGTTATTTAGGGTTTCTCACCAGATACTCACACTGAGTACTTAAACAACCAGTTTCACTGTTACTGGGGCAGGATGTGCTGATACATCATAGAACACAAAACGTACAGACTAGAGGATCAGGGTGGAAATCAACAATTAGGCACAGATTGTTTAGCTAAAAATATACTTTTTACCTACTAGGTTCAAAATAGTGCAAAGATTCTTCTCTTAGGGTTACAAAACAACAAAAAAGAAGGGATGCCAGAACTGACAGCAGAATGTTAAGTGCTATTTTCATTCAAAATATGTGACAGTGCAGTCCAGCACTTGGGGTTTCACAGACAGACTCCAGAGAAGACTTGATAGGCAGGTCTATATCTGCACAAATTTCATTCTCACTACATGTAAGAAATTCTATGATGGCAGGAACATCTCTGTAGTTTTGGCAAAAGAATGTACAGACCATTGGTAAGAGCTATAGGAGCTGTCCCCTTCTTCCTGTTCACTGTGACTTTAAGAAAAACATCCTACAAGAATTCTGTAATTCTTGGGTTTTGTCAGTTCCACGGACTTAGTATTTATCATGTATTCTTTTGAAGAAACAATTTGTGCATGTATCTGAAGAAACAAATTTTAGCTCATTGAGTGAATGATGGGTTGTGAATCTAAACCTGAAAGAAGACCGTGTCCACCTGCATGTTATATTATCCCCCATCCTCGCTATTGGCAAGGGCTGGTGGAGGATGTTCTTTTGACCTCTCCAAGACCAAATTGCTTTGGAGCTAAGCTACCTGGGTTTGAAATGCAGGTTTATTTTCATGAGTGTTGTGATCTTGGAGAATTTTACCGCGGCATTGCTAGTTTTTCACATTTCAAACACGAAACTGAAATAATATGAAAAAAATAACACCCTGCTTACAGAGTTGTACAGTGAATATATGAGTTCAAAAGTATGAAGCACTTAAAACAGTGGCCAGCAAATAGCAAGTACTTAAATGTTAATCATTTTCAGCTCTCAAATACCCTTCACTTTTTGGATATTGCTGTGGGGGAAGAACTTTAAACAGTATTTTACTCAAAGACTTGCACATGCCTACATTTTGTTGTGGTTACATCTAATTCTAAATATATATATATATATATATATATATTTGAGTTTATAGTGATTCTTATTACATTTTTATAATTTTTTTCTTTACCTCCATAGACACATCTGTCTTTCTCTTACTGTAGTTCACACTCCTCCATTTTTATAGCCTTGGCTGTAAATGTACAGGTGGGAGATGACATGCTGGACATGTGAGTGAGGGATAAATAATGGATCTTTTTAACCAGGTTAATGTATTATGGTGTGTCTGTATTATGGTCATAATAAAAGAAACACAAGATACATAAATCTAGGTCTGGTATATGTCTAAACTGTATGTATGTATGTATGTATGTATGTATAGTGGACTTAACTGTTTCAACTAAAAACAGTAAGAATGTCATCACTGAAACAGAATATCCAACCAGATATACCGCCATCATCTGAATGATCTGTAGCCTATTGGTTTGACAACAGAGCTAATGATACCAGGGTTAAGTGGGTTCATAATCATAACATTATTTTCATATACAAAGACAGCCCACTCTAACTTGAAGAATTTTATATGAACCTGACAGTAAGGGAAGTTAAGGCCTGCATATGGTTAGTGAACTGGGAAATATGGACCACAATGTTCAGGTATTGTAAGGACAGCTTGAGGAGAAGCATTTAGAGTGGGGAATAACAACTGAAGTGGAATTGTGACACTCTTAAATACTGAGTGTTTCTGAGTAGGAAAGTAAGCCAGTGCCTCTCAGTAAGCAGGTACTGTGCAGCAAGTCTCATGGGAGGGAAGAACTGCTAAAAGATGGACCCATTGTATTCATGGTTGTCTGCCAGTGTCCAGCACAATGTGGATACAAAATGGGGCTTCAGAAAGACAACTCGGCCAAAGGGATGATGGAGAATGAATGAATAGACAGGGCACTGGGGAAGCCAGTGCCAAGTTTGAGTCTTACTTTCACATTCAATGCCATCATTTCAGAAGCCAAGAGGAGAAGGAAGCTGCAAGTCCTGGATTCCATCAGCAGGGGATCTCCCAAAGTCCACTCCATGCTCAGAACCTTCCTGTGTCTGAGCTGGTAGACTGGAGTCCAGGTTACTCTGTATCTACAGTAATATGAATCCAAAAGTACTTGGGGGTGGAGAGAGAAACTGAGGGACAGAGGA